GAGCACAGAATAACACTATTAAATGAATATTCACAAAAACATTAACATTACATGAAAAGTAATAAATTCAATTCAATTTTACTTATATAGCACAAATTTACAACATATGTAATCTCCCAGCTTAACATAGTAAGGTACAGACCTTTTGAATTATAACAAAACAGAAAACGCAACAATCCAAGTTGCCTTTGGATTCTCTATAAATGCATCCAGCTTTGCTTGCATTACCTCAGTTCTTTTTTGTTGTTGTTGTTGTTCAGTGAGAGAAATCTAGTCTGTTTTGGGCTTAAACAATGATATATATTTGCACTGACTTTTAATTTGCCAGTGACATCATGCGGGCCAGTCAGGGTCAGCCACTGGGCCAGATGTGGCCTGTGGGCCATACAATGCCCAGGTCTGCTACAACTGGTCCAAAGTCACCCAGTTGCCTCCATGGCTGAGTGGGCACTAGAACCCAGATCACCTGAGTTCCCATTGCATGTTTTTATCCATTACACCATTACTGGCTTTCTAGCATGTGTTTGGTTCCCAGTGAATTGTGCTGTTTGAATGGGTCCATTGCAGAAAGAACTCTCTTACTGCCCTGTATTCAGAAAGCTAAATGTTCGCTCTTTAACAAGTGAATGACAGCTACAGTGCCATAGGAATTCCTGACCTTTTGATCAACCAGCCCAGCAGCACAGCGATTTAAACCACTGCACCACCTGCAGTCCCACCACAAAAATAGGGCTGCTTTAACCTCCCACCCTGAAGATCTAACTTTCCTTAAGAGTAATCTATGATTATTTTCTTACTACTGTAAAGATTTTTTCACAGTATTTATTTTGCATGCTGGACATGTATAGTGTCCTTACTTTCTTGGAGCAATTATTCTGAAAGTCATAAGAAAGGAGAAACTGGGTAGCATATCCAGGTGCTGGCATTTTCCAGGCTACAGTAAATTTTGGGATGACTTTGCTAATTTTCTTTAAAAAACCATATAATTTTGCATCTGTTAAAATTATGGAAATTGCTGTTGACTCTACCAAGCTCAAAGAACTATATAACTGTACCTAAAAAAAACTCCACAATGAGTTAAGGTTAAAACATCTGTGCTTATTTAGCATAAGCAAAAAGTAAGTAAAGGTAGACAGGACAGATGTGTACAAAATTAGGCATGATGTGGAAAAACCAGACAGGGTGATATTTTTCTCTCTCTTACATAATACTAGAACCGTTGATCATCCCATGAAGCTGATTTGTAAAAGATGCAGGACAGATAAAAGGAAGTACATCTTCACAGAGTGTTCAGAACTATGGGATTCACTTGTACAAGATGTAGTGATGGACGCCACTTTGGACAACTTCATGGAGGAGAAGGTGATCAATGGTTACTTGTCTTGACAGCTACATGCCATTCCCACAAGCAGTATACCTATGTGCACCATTTGTTGGGAAACAAGGGCCAGATGGCACCGTTGCATTCATGTCCCGCTGTGGATTTCTTATGGGCAGTTGACTCGCCACTGTGCAAACTGAATGCTGGACTAGATTATCTGATCCAGCATGGCTCTTCTAAAGGTACTATTAGACTTGCATGAACAAGGCTTCAGCTGCTTATACTAATGAAAAATATACTGCATAAAGGAAAGCCCAATTCACAGCATGTAGTTCAGGCAAATGCTTAGCCACTTCTACTTCATCTTCACTCCAAAAGCCTTAAACACACACATACACAATTTTGATATATTGAAGCTAATGGAAGACAGTATAATTATTTATTTGTAATGTTTAACTCCTTGTAATGTTTAATAATGTCTAATTCTGAGGTCATACATTAGGGTTACCTACTCCATCTTATTTTGTCAGGTGCTGGTGCTGAACAATTAATTGCCCTAGAAGTGTTGCCATATATAACAACTTCATAGAGATAATTTACTCCATCCTGCTAGTTGCTAGCTGACTGCATTGAAACATTTCCTTAACCATAATCATGTCTCTGAAAATGCTTCCAAAGAAAATGCCAAAGTACAGAAGTTACCCATGGTGTCATCTAAAAATAAATAAATAAATAAATAGCATATCAGCAAAAGTCCATACAAAATCCAGATGCAAAATGAAATTATATAAACCAAGAGCTTTATAGACCAACTTCCATGGTTCCTTGTTCCTTGCAATTGTGCTTAGAAAAGAGGCTAAAATAAAGCTAGTTTGAATGCTCCAGAGAAAAAAAACAGGAACTGATAAATCATAATGATCCAAAAATAATGATCCAAAAATGATCCAAAGATTCTAAAATGTCAATGCATATGTGAAAAGATAGAACAAGCCTCACAGGAAACAGTTCAAGTAAGACAGTCATGCAGGCAATTTGCTAAATGCATATTTATTTAACCTACTGGGTTTTCATATCAAGATAGAAAATCCTAGGACAATAATTCCAAACTACTGTTGCCCAAAATTATGTAAGATTCTTTCTGTATTGATTCTACTTGCGCTTGTATTCCAGAACTTGAAAAATAAAAGCAGAACCTCATGCCTCCTAGGGATCCCACTCTCTCGTAAAGCAAGTGCTGATACAGACAATCCCTTGGGGCGCGATCGACAGATATGGCAAACACAACTCAGATCTCTATTGGGACCTCACTGTGAAATGTATGCCCAAATTTTCCCAAGTCTTGGCATGAAATCTCATTTCAAGGTTAAGTGTGTCTTAGTTGAACAGTGCCCAAACAGGACCTACAGTACTGGGATTTAGGGAAACATGGGTAATACTATGTTTTTATCTTGTGTTGTAAGCTGCCCAGAGGTGCTGTGGCACAATTGGGCAGCATACAAATTAAATAAATAAATAAATGTCTTATGAGATCTTCCAGCTGCTTCTACAACTACCTTTAATTATGAAAAGGGGAAGAAGAGGGTGGTGTAGCCCTCTTCCTATCACACCACTCATCTTTACTGATGTTGACACAGCATAGCCAATTTAAAAGAATGGAAAGATAAGGCATCAGGTTTTCTGTGACCTTAGAAAATTACCAGAAAATTCAAAGAGGGGTTTGAGTAACTCGTCCATCTTTACATAGAGCATGAACAGATTTCTTCAGCCTGGTGCTTTCCAAATATTTTGGGAAACAGCTCCCAGAATTCCTGATCATTGTTCATACTGGACTTGAAGTCCAAAAGATCTGGAGGGCAATGCATGAGGAAATGCACATTCATTTGCCAATACAATTCTTTTCCAGCCCATTAAAAGCAAGAGGAAACACTAACAGGAGTTATAAATAAAATTAAATAATTAATGGCTCCTTTGCCCTAACATGGTAAGCAATATTAGGAAAAAGACACAGTATCTTTAAGTATATACATTATAACCAAAACTGAGAATTCAACCAGCAGCAGCAGCACGAGTGAACAACAATACAAACCCAATGCTAACCTGAGTGAGGATCTCCAGCTAATACCTGGGATTCCTATACCCAGATCAGACTGCTAGTTTGAGGCCATGCTAAAATCAGAGGGGTTCCTGCTGCCCCACTTCTTTTTGCTGTGGATACATGTGGTGACTAAAAATGAAAATAAAAATAAAAATGAGACTAAAAATGCTTTCTGTTTTCTGAAGCTCGGTTGTTGTGGGTCAGAATTTGGCTTACTTAATCTTCTCAAAATGGGAATTATATTTTCCCTTGTGTGACATCTGCTGCCAGAAATGGATGTGTCAAATTTTCCAGCACTAAGGAATGAATGTACCAATCTTCATAATCAAATCCCCAAGATAAACACGAACATTTCTTTTCCAATATTATCAGGCTCCAGGATACTGCAGCTACTTTTCCTTTTCTCTGTTCATATATATTTTTCCTCAAAATTCATGACACTGTAATATTTAATAGCAGTTTTATCACAAAGCCTTTTGAACATAGTTATGGAAAACTTCTGCAGCATAAAATTGACTAAAGCTGAATTAATATTTTTTTCTTTTTGATCTGTATATGGAACATGAAGGGATGCAGGGAGAAGATCAACAGAGGAAAGCATTTCTATATCTTTATAATCCAAGAAATAAACTCTACATATCCATCACTTGTATCATAGATTTTGGGGGAAAATGTAACATGTGTTCCCAACTTCTTTATTGTTAGAGCAACTAAATGATCATGAACTTCACTTTGAAGATGAAAGTTAAGTAATGTGAGTGACTAACCTTTAAAAGTTCACTTCTGTTAGATTTGAAGATTTTTTATATACCACTGAAAATGGGCTCAGATTTTTCACATCTGCTTTCAGGATTGTGTGTGATAACAAATAACAAAATATACGAACCTCAAGAAATGTACAAAAGCAGGTAAATATCAAGGAAATTCAGCATAAAATCTATAAAAACTGTCTGTAAAACATGCAAAGACATGAAAGTACCAGAAATAATTTGGCTGATACAGATAAGCCACAAAAGTTGGAGGCAGGTGAACTTTTCTACAGAGGGCCTTCCAGATGTGGAATGCAATGTACAATCAACCCCCACCCACTTTGGGTTATTTAGTCCATTACTCAGATAACAGAATGAAAGCGAAGGAAGAGAGCAAATGAACACCATTTCTCATAGCAATGGCTATGTTCCAGCATGATAAACTTGGGTTGTCACCAAATAACAGTAACCAGAGGTGGAAAGCTTGGCTGTACACTTGTATCTTTCTGATTTTGCTATCACTGTATATCATCATGCTGTAACATTGCATGCATTGCCTACAGTGAGCTGAACTCTTTTTTGTAAGTAATTGCACACACCACACTGAGCTCTATCTCTGTCTTTTCTCTGTTTTTCAGTTAGACTCACCTTACATGCCTCCAGAATTTATACATTTTCAATTCCAGCATGATCAAACTTTAAATAACTGATGTTCTTCTATATGCTGTGCCCTGAAATGCCATTATTACTTGTTGACATTGCCATGAGCTGTCCAACGTTATGTAATTTCAACCAGCATGAACTATAACATATTCTAACTATAAAGATTTACTACCTGAAGCAGTAAGCCCGATGTTGGTTTCATTCTCTGCTGAAATAGCACACTTAGTGTTCGGTTCTGTTGTTCCAGGTCAAAAACTCTTGTTTTTAACTTCAAGCATTCCTCCCTCAGATCCTAGAACAGGGAGTGAAAATGGGATTAAAATATAACACATACATGGGGAAAATAATGCCATCAATCAAACTTTCAGCTTTAAAAAGTAAACAGAATTCTTCTTTTTAAAAACATATAATATAAGCATGAGTCCTTCTAAGAATTTTCTAAAATACAGTAAATTGATTTCTTTGGGTAGGTAGTTTGAAAGTATCCCATGCATGTTTAGTCGGACATAAGACCCATTATGCAGTATTTTCTTCAGCACTAGCACTAAGGTACATTACATTACCCTTGCGTAAGCTCTGTCAAGTTCAATGCCAATACTATTTAGTTGGCATGGAAGTTTTTCCTGACAAAAGCTGTTGGCTTATGCTAGTGCCTAAGAAAAGTTTTAATGAGTTTTATCATGTCAACATACATAACAATAACAGAAGGCATAAAAAGACAGTTTTATATAACTGGATTATTGTTTTCCCAAACTAGAGGTTCTGGAAACACTCTTGTGTGATATTCTGCCAAAACAATGAGCCCAGACAGTCCATATTTTATCACAATCTCTACCAAGAAGTGGGAAAAGCAATACGTCCCCCTTCACTGATAAGTCCCTTTGTAATTTCTAATTGTCAGGCAAGTGTGCTGGTTCGGTAGATATTCCAATGAAATCATTGCTCACAGAACATGCCATCTGGGTGCTCAGATATGAAATATCAATCAGCACACAAAATATCTGATACATGAACAAAATATTTAACACATTTTCTTACATAGTCTTCTCTTGTTCGTACACTGACAGCAGCGATTTCCATGCATATGTTAATAAGGGCTCATTAGTTGTCATTGCATTAAGGTTTGTAGTTCTAATCCAGAAATAGTAAACTTACATTACCATACATGGCCCACTCTGTTGCTCCTATCAACTCTACCACAGAAGGCTATAGAAGCCAGTACTCCTCCTGCAGCATATTACAGCTTGGGTGTAGGGAAGGATGGAGGATTTTGTTGGAATTCCAACAGGTTTCCTCTCCCAGTGTACAAATACTGGGACCACCAATCCTGCACTATATAGTTGTAAACAGTGACACATAACTCTGGTATTTAGCACTAAAGGAAAAGCCAAAAGCAGAAGAGGGAACAGAGATAAGATGAATCCATAGCTCATTTATAATCCTGCAAACTGTCACTGTCTGAAATGACTCAAAGGGTCATTGATTCATTCCCCTTGTAAAAACCAAAAACTATGAGCCAAACATTTTACCACACCAACATGGAAATTAAGGAAGACCTGTTGAAGCCAGATACAGCACATTCAAGGGAAACACTTAGGTCCCCATATTTGATAGTGTCTTGACATTCCTACTAAATGTCTATTTCTCACATCTACAAGTGCGAAAACTTCATTCATAAAGACACATGTACAACATTCACACACAACAACATATGCAAGAGTACTCTTCACTGTGTAAAAACAATGTTACAAACTCCTCCATTTGCTAAAACTGAATAATCACATCTTCAGTTAAATGTTCTGAAAACTACAAAATCTAATGGAAGGCCAGTATGAATGAAAACACTCTTGTCTAAGCTTCCATAGCATTCATGAAATGAGGGAGAAGCTTTGGGGGTATCATAAAGGTTGCTGTACCATCTGAAATTGCCATTTCCATTTGCCATAGACAAATTATCTAAGGAACTATTTGTACAAACTCGGGGCTCTTCTGCATGGGACTGGATTCCTCACTCATAGTGGTTCGTGGTTGCTTTACACGATAATATCATCCTTCAGGGCCTTTCCCCTGCTTTCTGAGTAGTTCTGTGACTGGCTTCAAAATGAGGATAATGAACTATTAAAGGGCTACCATGCTATAAAGCACTACAAAATAGCCATGTATTTTTTCAATTCCACAGTGCCATCAGGTGGTTGTGTAATGGAATGTCTAGAAAAACCTGGTGAAAAACTACAAATGATATGACCTTAATCTTGCAAAGAAACTAGAATTAGAAGCCTTGGTAAAAAGCCTAACGTACAAAAGCATTGTTTTCAAAACCAACGATTCATATGTCTGTCAACAGTAGTATAGAAGAGGACTGCTAATTGCTGGCACGGATACTTTCTCATTCCATTCTGGCTTTTTAAAATATTAGAGAACTCATCCATATTGTAAACTTCCTGGAACATGGAGAAAGATTTGAAATATCTAACCGTTCTAAGCAAGCTTATTTTAAAAAGAATATCAGGACAAACCATTCAAAATTCTAGTGAACTCTGCCTTGATTTCACAAAAATATTATACCTGGAAATCATGTGCTGTAGCTGAGATGCCTCAGCATTATTATCTAGTGTGGAATCTATAGTGATCTTAGAATAAAATAAACTTCTAGTGCATTAATTCCCATTATGGCTTTGAAAAAAATGTTTGTTTCTCTTGAAAATGAGAACAATTGCACTCCCTACCTTACTATCTATTTTTCTTTGAAGCATGCATAAAAGCAGAAAAAAGGATTTGATGATTCCCCATAAATTTACTTGCTGACAGCTTTAACAATATACTGAAGTGCATAAACCTTCTGAAGAGGCAGGTCAGGATGGAAAATGGTGGTCAGAAATAACCTGAGTATTTTTGTCTGTTCTTGCGCTGCTCTGCCACAGCTAGCATGGTGAGCCGAGAAGATAACACAATGAGACACTTCTGCTATGAGATAGCTGGAAAAATTGTGGTTAGCTTTAATTCAAAGGTAACACTGTATGAACTGCTAAGAAGTAATTTTGCCCAAGCACATTGTGATGGTAGTGCTTATTTAAAGTACCCCTAAGGCTAACCAAGTTATATATCCCCTGCCTTCTGAAATGACAAGGAGGCAATGATATCTTTTATTTGAAGTGTTGCAAAATCCTAAATCCTTTAATTCTGCAAAAAAGAGGTTCCTATTAATAACAGAATCATCTCAGACCTCTTATGGGGACCGATTATCCATCTTCTACTTAAGCAGGCAGAAGCACTAACACCAGTTCTTATGGGGTTCTAATTGAAAGGTTACCTGCCCCAATTAAGACTTGAAAGCCACACACACAAAGGCTGTAAGCGCTTCATGAAAGCTGGTCCTTCAAACTAAGCACAGACCAAACAGCACCTCCTGGGCACCATTCCTTAAAAAAGCTAATTTTTGACGTCCCTTGTCTCTCTTCTACTTGAAGTTAAAGATGGACATGTAAGTTGCTAGATGCCCCAATTAGTGAACAAAGTGCTTGAACACTAGTCATTCAGCAAAAGATTAAGAAACCCAGCAAGCTGTAATACATTAGCATAACCTGAGAGCCAAACCAAGCATTTCTCCAAGCATGTATAGCAGAACTGCATGTGCTACTTTTTTTTACTCTCCTGTAAGCATGCGGCTCTGATTCACGTCAGGACTATGGTGCTTCAAAAAAGAGGGTTTAAACATCCCCCCCATTCATTTCCTCCTTCCCCCTCCCCCCTCCCCCACTTCACAGCAAGGTTAAGAAAGCTTTGTAAGACACAAGCGGGGCAAGAAAATTTATTTGTTGCCCTCTTAACCACAGTGTGAGTCCTATAATATACCATGACCCATATTTCATCGGATTGAGGAGAAAGTAAACATATCTCTACATCTCTGGAAGTCAGACCTGCTCAACTTAACTTAACTTTTCCAAACAAAGCCTTCTATTACCATTTCAGTGGACCAAAGTGGCTTTCCAAGCAATCTACTATCTTCAAGATTTAGGCATCATGCCTCTGAGTACCAGTTGCCTGTGAATAACCATAGGAAAAGGGCTGTGACTTTCATGTCATGCTTGTGGGCTTCTCCAGGGTACCCTGCTTAGCAGCTGTGATAATCAGGATGCAGTACTAGCTGGACTGTTGGACTAATTCAGCAGAGGTCGACCTTATGTTTCTGTTTGAGAGGAATCTGTAGGGCAGAAGTCTTAATTTAAAACAAGCAAACAAAATCTTTCAAAGCATGAAATAGAAAGCAAATGGGGTCTTGAAGCTCTTGAATTGTCCCAGTTATGATCTGAATGGTATAAAGTTAGAGGCATGTCTGCCTTAAAACATATTGGCAAACTTAAAACATTTTCTGGGAGTGTTTATGACTGTTTGCTGGACAGTTCAGTTTTTAGCTGCCTCTTAAGTAAAACTGTAACTTGTGGAAATGAAGGAAACAAACCAACCACAAAAAAATACAAAGTGCTCTGAGGCAGAACTCCCAATTTAATATATTTTCCTTCATATTTTCACCCAAAAGCTGGGCTCACTGGAGGAATTTTGTCTGTCTTAGAAGGAATGAGTTCTTCCAAAGTGCCCATTTCAAACTATAAATTTGATCTTAAGGATACCGTGACATTGATAAATCACTCAAGATTTTTCCTCTTCTGGTTGATGTCACCATGATGTCTCCGTAAAACTACAGCCATGTCTTATACTTCTGAGTTGTGCAGTACTTCACTCCTTATATTTTGGTCTGATGTCCTTAATTTAAACAAAAAATTACTCCTCATGGGGCAATTCCAAATTCACAGTGTAATATACATGGCTGGTGTTACTGCAGAATATTACTCTTTCTGGAGCTTTTGAAAGCTCTTCAGGTTGCCTCTGTATCTCATGCTGCCCCTGAGGTGTGTTATCTCTTGGCGACATTACTTGTTCTGTCTTACTGTGCTGTGGTGAAAGACTTATCTGTTTACCAGTTATTACTTGGATTTGTATAGCAGCCATTTGTGATTGACCCAGAGATTCCAATTTGCTATTTACTGTACAATATCGTCTTCCTGTCCAGTCTTATAAATGATCTCTGTCCAAATGGCATTAGGAGAACTGTAGCAGTTAACATTCATTAACATTTAGAGTGCTTCCTCGTGTTTCCCCTTCAGGGTATAAAATTAGCCAGTGTTACTCAGCAGTAGGCTACTGCCTGTTAACTTTCATCAATACTAAGGAAATCACATTATTAAATACATTTTAATCTTATACTTAGTCTGTTCATAAAGAGTCTTTAGCACCTGTGGATTTTGTGTCTTCTGATATTGACAAAAGAGATTCTCATGGGAAAAAAACCCTGTGTCTCAAAGAGTTATAAACAAGTGACAAAATTCTCTCCTCCCCCCACATCTGCCTGTCTTTTCGTTTATTTTGAAGAAGGAAGCTGAGTGTTTTATAATTAAAGTAACTCTATATTAAAAACATCTACCAACACATATGGACTTTACAGTGCAAAGTGTCCATCTGTTTTATTTATTATTTGTTTATTTAAAACTTTTCTTCTATATGGTCCCCTCACATATGGTCCCCTCATCTTGGGACGGTTTACAACAAATTAATACAATAAAATAAAAATAGGAGTAACAGTTGCACAGCATCTGATGTTAAAATAAAAGCACTAAATAAAGCAGGTTAACAATTAAAACGCTGGAAAAATAAAAAGATAGGTAAGTGTGGTTTATTAGCTAAATGCCAAGGGAACTTGAATTCATTTCTTTTATGTTCCTAGGCTGGGTCAGTTTGCTTTAATGGATGATGCTTAACAAGCTGGAACTTAATCCTGACAAGACAGAAGTACTGTTCAGATGGAACTTGAGGTGCGACACAGGAGGGCATCACACCTCCCCAGACAGGTCAGGTGAGTAGTCTGGGCGTGCGCCTGGACTCAGCACTGCCTATGGAGGTGCAGGTGGTGGCTGCCACCAGGATTGCTTTTCACCACTTTAGGCTGCTTCAGCAGCCGTGGCCATATCTAAAGAAAGCTGGCCTAGCCCCAGTCACAGATGCCTGGGTTAAATCCAGATTAGGTGACTGCAACGCCTTCCACATGTGGCTACCCTTGAAAAGGATTTGAAAACTGCAACTGGTATACACTGTGGCAGCAAAAAGGGTTTGTGGGAGGCATGCCCTCAAACCAAATTACTCCTTTTTGGTGTTCATATCAATTGGACACCTGGTAATCTCTGGGCCTAATTCAAGGTGCTAATTTTAGCTTTTGGAACACTAAACGGTAAATTTGCCCAAGCAACAAAGTACCTGCTCTTGGCCACCAGCAACAAGTCATTAGGGTAGTGCATACTAGGAATAGTTATTTTTCCTCCCACAAGTCGTAGCCTCTCACCATGGATACTCCCTCTCCAAGAAAGCCTTATCACTGTTGGCTTAAGAAAAAGCCCTTTAAAGAGACATTTATTTCAGTCTGCATGTCCTTGAAAATAAGTAACTGCTGCTGCTGTGTGTGTCTATGTCTAACTGTAAGATGTTAATGGTTTTGAAATATTGTAAGCCATCTTGTGATGGCAGTGTGCCTGAAAGTCATGTTAAAAAACCTTAGTAAATAAATGAATGAATCTTAATTGAGAATTTAGAAAAGACCCTTCAGTGAAAACTCTAGTAACAAAAACTAACTTTCCAGCTATTTTATAAATGATATTCTAACATCTATTTTATGTAAAGAATTCTCTGAACTTCTAGTCTAATTTGTTTGGAACACTTGCTAGGATTAAAGGGCATTTCGGACAGTTCACCTCATGTTGACCTTTATAGTTAAGAAGTACATGGATATGGAACAACTCTTAGCACTTGTTAACAGCAACTTTATAGATTTTTCTGCACTTCTAGCTACTGAAACTTTGTCCAGGGCCATTTCCTTCAGGTGACAACACACAATGCATCCCTCCAAAAAAGACACCATGGTATGCCTCATATATTGCATATCTTGCAGACACGATGTGGGCAGCTGCTTAGAATCGTGACCAGACCTGCACCGGCTGCATACTTTCCATGTGGCAGGTCCCAGGTTCTGTTTCGACCATCTCCAGTCAAACTGATCATGGAGCAGGTGTTCTGAAAGTCTTCTTCTGGAAACCTGGCTAGTCAGAGTGAACTGGGCTAGCTGAACTGCTCTGATAAAAAGTAACTTCCTAAGTGCCCTTTAAGACCGAAGGTTATGGATAAAGCCTTGGGTCCAAAGAACAGAATGCTACACATCTCCCACTGTACTTGCACATCTCATGGAGCGATTAGGACTGAAGAATGTTCACATAACTTTGTTAACTTTTCAGCAGGACCCAGAACAACAAAAAGGACCCAGAACAACACTGAGAAAGGTTTCTGAGTAAAGTCTTTCATGGGTGCCTCGTTTCTGTTAGTCCTGAGTTGCCTACCTGCATAAACAATGCTCACTCTGGAGCAGCGAATCGTGTGGGTGTTTACACTCTTCAAGCTGTGCAGTTTTTCCCTGCATAGCAGGAGTGAAGAGGGATATCACTGTCACTGAATTAGGGCACTTTCCCCAACCATCCTAATTAGGCCTACATCTTGGAGACAAAACGGCAACCAGTAGCTGTGGCTACAGACACTTAATTTAAACGCTGATCAAAAGCTGCAGTCAGGTTGCTTTGCAAAAGGATAATTCTGAGGTAGAAGTACTATTGCACAGCTTAAACAAAACAAAAACACAAAGCCCCCAAAACACCCGAAGGGAAGGGAAGGGATGACAAATATGCCAAAAGATGAAAAGGGGGTACATAGTTCATATGTTCCAATCATGTTTATGAGAGGCAATGAAGTGATTAGCAAATTATGTGAGGCTAAGAAATAACTAGCCAATGGAACTTTCTCCCTGTCTAATACATATTAGGGAACACAAACAAGACCTGCAAGAAAATTTTGTGGTGTGGAGTGCTCATGTTGAGGGCCATCCTACTCTGGGATTTTTCCACAGGGCATCAAACTCTACCACACAAGCAATGACTGGCAAGTCAAAGATGCAGAAATGCTAGACACTTCAGAAGATGCAGGGTGGGTTTGCATGTTGTGCCAATATACCCTGGAAATAAGCCATAGTGGGGGACTTGTGAAGACAACTCACAGTGTGCCCGACAGATGAATGGACTCATTGTCAGTTGTCATTCCCTCCTTGCCCCTCAGTCTGCCAGCTGGCATTCCAGGTGACATTGCAGCTCAGGTGTTTGCTTGAGAAAAGGAGTGGAAGATTCCTCTTGACACTGGGGTCCTTAGAGGTTTTTGTATTGCCAGTGCCTCCAATGGATATACCTATTCCCAAGACTCCAGGGAAGAGTTGTGAAGATGGAAAAAGTATAGCCCACCCCCTTTTACGAGAGCAACAAAATTTAACAACCACCTGTTAAAACTCTTAGGTTGTTGTTGCTTCAGTGTTGTTGTTGTTGCTTGCTTGTTTTTTTCATGGTGTGATATGGTTGGACTGGGGACTTGTGAGATCTGGATTCTAGTCCCACTTCACTATGAAGCTTAAGTGGGTGACTTTGGGCCAGCCATTCATTCTCAGTCAATCCTACCTCACAAGGTTGTTGCTGTACAGATAAAATGGGATGGAGTAGGACTATGTAAGCTTCTTTGAGATTCTTGCAAGAAGAAAAATTGTATGATGTAAATTCAATGTGAGAGTGAGAATGAGCTCATGGGAAAGCTCCTCTTTAAAGGACATGGACAACTTTCCAGGGGATCTTCAAGAATCAGAGAGCAGCATGTCGATGGCTGAGACACACACATTGTTGGTCCAGGCACTGGGAAGTCTGATTAATTTTATATATTTTAATTTTTAAAAAAATATGTTTGTTTTAATTATTAACCAATCTGGGAATAGTTTTGTTTATAAATCATGTTCAAAGGGTTACAAATAACTAAATAAAATGAACAAAACTCTAAATCATTGAGCTTCCTGGAAGGATGAAGACATATTCAATCAACCATCCTACCCTAGCTCTAGATAAATTAGCAATCCATATGTTTCCACTTTAGTAACACTATAAATCATTGGCATACCTGTGGCCACTTAGGGGCATATTTGAGATGCCCCTCAGTGGCCACGGGTAAACAAGTAGACATCTTAACTGGAGTTCTTTTAGGACTAAATTAAATTCAAACTTGAAGTTGCCAAAGGGTGCCATTTTGCATTCTGATAAGTGAATACAAGTTGATTTCCTTAACTAAAAGTTACATTTCTGTGTTCTTTAATCAAGATAAATTGTTCATCTGAATTAGATGCCCTCAAAAGCACTATCCATATTAATATGTAAAGTAAGGTACTTTAATACATCGTAACTATTTCACTGAATAAATGTCTTTGATAACTGTACATAAATACCTTGATAACTCAAATATCTATAACCTTTAACAGTATTCTCAAAAAGAGGGAATCTACTTACCTTCTGAGTAAGAAGCGCTTGTACAACCTGGTTGGCTACCTGTAGAAGAATAAAGTACATTTTAGTAGGCTATCATATTGCTTTTGCTCATGCACTCTGTGGATAATTTCTTGTAGTCATCTCAGCAAACCGTTTTTCCCTCTCCTTTCATCCTTAGGACCTTACCATAGTATAACTTTCTCTGCAAATCTAATTTTGTCCCCAAGTTCTAACAAGCTACAATATAACACACACATTAAAAACCCCCAAATAGCCAAGGGAGTAGAACTGATTTTAATCCAGGGACAAAATCCTGCAGTACTATAAATCACAGGACTGAAAATCAGTACTAGTCAAGAGATTTCAAAGAAGATATTGTTTATTTTGTTCAAGCAGAAGACATGGTCTTGAATGTTTTCATGACGCTTAATTGTTTCTTGATGCAATATTGACAAAACAGAACGTCTGTCATGACAGCTAGATACCATAAAGTGCCACAGAAAATTAAAATGCCTTCAGTCATCAAAATGTGTCTGGCACTCAGACCACACTTTGTAATTTACTTGAATCAGATGACAAAGCATTTATCAGTTGAACTGTATATACAACTAGGTTTTTAAAAAGAACATCTAGCACCTTTCCCAATATTTACATTTGTATCATATGTCTTTTTATTATGTGATACCTTAATTGTTTATAAAGGCTGTATTTACACACTAAAATCTTATTTTCTGAAATATACAAAGCTATCATTTAGAAATGAAATTTCTCTTCTCAACAATTTCATTTTTTGAAAAATACACTCCATTCATATGAACAAAAACAAAAATACAAACATAAATCAATCTAATTCAATGGGTAAGAATTATATTCTTCTATAATCCAATAGTTTGATTTGATTCATATCCTCATAAAATGGCCCAATATTGTTTGTCCTTCCCCTGACCTCCAAAAGAGGTCTCTAACCTATGGCATTTGAGAAAGCAATGGTCACATAAAATAGCCCTGTACATGATTTAATGGGAAACACAGACTAAAGCCGCGTAATAACCCACAGGAGTAAATGTGCTATAGCACTGAAAACCACATGTGTTGCTCTATAGACTTTTATACCTGACATCCAACTTTTTAAGATCGAATCAAGCTTTCTAACACCAACATTTGAAGGTTCAGTTCTCAAGCCTGCATCCCTTCTTGATGAAACCATGTAATAACATTGCTATTTAAATGATCTTATCAAACAGATAATGATAGTGAGCCAAGGGTAGAATTCATTGTGACATAAGTAGATTCAGCCCAAGTTTCTTTCTGATCAGTAACGTGCTCACTACAAACCAGGTTAAAGAAAAAAAAAATTAGTAGGAAAAATGGATTCAAATGGAACTAAATTAGCTGGTTAATTTTTGGAATCTGTTAATTCTTGCTGCTTTGCTTAGTATTCAGTTCAAAAACTTCTACCACAATCTAAAGCTTATTCACTGCTGTACATCTCTCAATCTTCTTAACTGGGACATTGCTTGAGTCTGAGCACCCCTTAATGTTAGCCCCAAACCACAAGACATATACAGAATTTAAACCTTAGAGGTTTTTGCTCTGACTTGATATAAAAAGTAGAAATAAAACAAGTTTCATACTTCCAGTTGGATTAACAGCTCTGCTTGTTGGTCTATAACTGGAATCAGTGACATTACACACAATGTTCCTTAGCATTTGAGGACAGAAAGAGGAGGGAAGGACATCAGAAAGGAGCAAAGGAAACAAACTTGAATCATTCATGGTTTCAGAGGAGAAGAAGATACCAATGTCTTTGGCAACACATGAATTTAGGCTGTGGAAAGCATGTGTGCACAGGCTTAGGACACCACATATAGCCTCAAGCTGTCTAGATTACCACCTCTATTTAAAAGTCATCCTTCCAGAAGTCCAAAAGTCATCCTTCCTAGCTGTTTAGCAAAATTAAACTAAGGGCAGACACACACATACACACTCACACACTGGATTGTATTTTCTTTTCTTTTCAGCTAATATCATAGTTTCCTTTCCCACAACCACCCTTGGAAAGTAACTCTAGAGGCTGGATACAGATGAGCAGCAATATGGTTTATCAAAAATACTTGCATCACCAGTTTATATAAATCTATCACTTATGGCAAAGACTGCATGCAGTTGTTACAAACACAATTACTGTGTGTCTCCCTTCCAAATGCTTCAGTCTTTCCAAATGCAGCAAATGACTCCAAGTCTAAATGATGATAACTATAATAAAACAAAGTCTCCAGTCCAAATGAGGCAAAATTCTAGGAAGGAAAATTATATTCTCTGCAGTTGCCTCACTTTATGGAAGAAATAAAATGCTAATACTTAATTTCCAAACCTATGACTGTTGTACTTGGAAAAGCTGAAGGAGTCTCAACACGAGCACCCCAGTTTAAGGAGAATCAGTATTAAAAATCTGCAGGATTTGTGGACTAAATCATAGTATGGATTGAACCTAAAATGATCCAGCAAATATTGATCTGCTCGTGTTCGTGAGCGAAGGACAGTGCTTTTATTCTATCACTGTAGGATATGATCATGATGTATTTTAGTGCTTTTGAAGACAGGATGAACACTGGAGGAATCTTATATTTTATCTAGCTAATTGCAAAAGTTGGTATGGTAATTTAATGTATCACAATGCTTGAAACAGAGCAGCTGAGCTTGACAGAAATTTTTGCTGGCATAAAAAAACATGAATAAATATTATACCACCTCTTGACAATAAACTGACAGTCAATTCCAGAACAGGAAATTAGGATTAAGCATTTAAACCTTACGTCCCTGAGGCAGAAGAAGGTAATCCTGTTTCTTGCATTAAAGACAAGGAGATGGGTTTACATTTTCAAAAAAAAAATTAAATAAATGATGCTTGTTGCTATGTAATACAAGACTACCATCACAGTGTTACTTACGTTTAAATGCATTCCAAATGACTGGTATTTCTTTGTTAGGGAAAATATCAGCATTGGTTAACTAATTTCAAAACCAATTTAGTTAGGATTAATGTTAGAATGTGTAAGTGAATGCAATTGTCTCTATTTTGATCCCTCTGTTGATACATTTTAATTTTAATTTTTAGCAGCAATTGATTTTTACTGGTAGAAACGTTCATGAAACATTCTTTTTTTCTCACAAGGCAAGAATTCATATAACAGTGTTGAAGTTTAGGTTAAGAAATAAACAATGTTTGTACAGAAGAGCCATTCACTAAAAAAACAAAAACAAAAAAAACAGGGTACTGTGTCCAGTAATTCTGTTCCTCAACTCTGCCTGTCAAATGAATTGAGTAAGTTTTGTGTCTGCATATAAAGGTAAATCATCTGACCAAGATGGATCTTGGTTTATGGAACAGCAGTGGAAGTTTTACAGTTGAGATCACTGATCAGCTTGGGCTGATCAGAAGTGCTAAGGTTTCCTCTCTCAGCCAGTGCAGCAATTACAGCCTTTCATTTGTGTACATCCATATGTATGGTTGGGGACAGCAGGTGGCGCAGTGGTTTAAACCGCTGTGCTGCTGGGCTGGTAGATTGAAAGGTCGCCGGTTTGAATCTACACAACAGGGTGAGTTCCCGTTGCTCTGTCCCAGCTCCTGCCAACCTTGCAGTTCGAAAGCATGCAAATGCAAGTAGATAAAAAGGCACCACTTCAGTGGGCAGGTAACAGCGTTCCGTGCACTTCAGTGTTTAGTCATGCTGGCCACATGACCACGGAGACTGTCTGCGGACAAACGCTGGCTCCCTCAGCTAGGAAACGGAGATGAGCACGGCCCCCTAGAGTCAGGCATGACTGGACGTAACGTCAAGGGGAAACCTTTACCTTTACCTTTTTATATGTATGGTTATAAGAGTCAGATTCAGTCTGAAGCTCAAAATATGCTATGGTGAAAAGCAAGTGGTCAACTGTGGGCTTTATCCAATTCTTTCTGTGTGCTAGTGGGAATGGGAGCCTTTTTGTTTCCAGAATTGTTTTTAGAACTGCTAGTTTTCTGTTGCATTAGTTTTCCACGTTGTATAACAGATCAAATGGAAATGCAACAGAGGTCTTGGATACTCCTATTCTGTTAGAGTTATTCCAAACTATAGGTCACATAGGCAAGCAGCTATTAGAGCACCTTGAGAATTAGTGCAAATATCCACTAACTTTTCACAGCATCAGGGGATGAATAAAACCAAGCAATACTGAAGGCAAACTGCCTTGGGTAAGTCTACTTTGTAAAGGGAACTGAGGATCATTTCAGCATACTGCACGGGAATTAAAATGATCATTTTATTCACAGACTGGTAGCTGCAGTAGCCTATGTTATGTTCTGGATTATCTGTAACAGATTATGGTTGGATAATCCATAACAAATTATCATATTTTTGTCTTTTATGTTTGTTTTCTTTGTTTCTATATCTGTGCCACCCAATAGCCAAAGCTCTCTGGGTGGTTTACAACACATAAAATACGTACAATACAAAATATAAGGAGCAATAAAAACATCATAAAAGATTACCATAAAAATGTGACACCAAATATAAAACAAATGTTAAAAAGTTACAGTACAATATAATTCAATACAAAGTTACAACTGTAAGACCTGATTAATCAAGACCCCAACATAATAGTAGGTGATTGAATGCCCTGCGGTAGAAGACTCTTGGCTTGGCACCAAAATGCTATTAAAGGTGATGCCAGGCAGACTTCAGTGGGGAGCTTATTTCACAACTGTGGGGCCACCACTGAAAAGGTTGTTCTCCTTGTTGCCACCAACCAAGCATCCCTTGGAGGTGGCAATCAGTGAGACGCAGACCCCAGATCATGTTTTCCAGATAGAATGCAGCTGGGAGATATTCTTTTAGTGCATACACTGTTAATAGACTACTTCTGAAAGAAACTTTTGGTGTGTGATGAACACATCCAGTGGAATGTGTTCTAATCTCCTAAATTGAACTACATGAATTAGTTTATAAATTACCCAGCTGAAATAGAATTAGATGATTCATAGTAAGCTGAATAGTAAACAAACATTTAACCTGCCCAGTAAGGGGGACATGTTAGCAAAATACTCTGCAACAAACACTGTTATAACTACCTTACCTCATCAAGGCACCTTTCATACTGTTCTCTCTGATTTTCATTTTCCATGGCCAGTGCAGAATTCTCTGCCTGCAAGTCACAGCAATAATGCAAATTAATCAGAGGGCATGGTGTGAAACACGACAAGCCAATCAATATATTTACTCTACATATCTCCTCAGGATCCAAAATAAACTTACAGAAAAAAATAAAATAAACCAAATCTATGTTCTTTCGTTTGCTGTTATAAATAACACAGAGATTCCATTAAGTTTATGAAATTACCCACCAAACACATTACAATTTAGAGAAAGACTGACATTGCTATTCTACACATCTCTGCAATCTATTCTTGGCAGATTCAGAAAACAGTCTTTAGTAAAACACACACACACACACACACACCACACAACAATGGATATTTTGCACATCAATTTTCTTTTATTCAAGCATGCCAAACCTGAATGTTTGAAAATCATGAGTCAGGGGCATTCTCTTCCCTCTTCAAATCAGAAAGCTTAGCTTAATATTAGAGATTTACAGGTACAATAATAAAATGTGATTTCTTTTTATCATCTGGACACTGCAGCATTGATGGATAGGGCAGTCATGTTTTCATGAGTTTTCTTTCTTTCTGATATTGTAAAATCTTGGAATGCAGCACATATTTCTCCTACATTGGTGCAATATTTTGTTCAGTGCTATAGCTGCACAGTCTATAAGCTTTTTCCCATTAACATAAAATACAAAAATAAAGTTATCCACTGTAAGACTAGAAGAACTGGTACAAACATCGTAGCTAATACAAGCAGGACTTGCAACAAAGTGCTGCAGTACAGGTTGCTCTGGTTCAGGATAGGAATATGTGAGGAATCTGATATAACATTCTGGATTTCATTTCGTGAGTCCTGTGCCGGTGCCAGCTCACTGTGGGATGAGCTGAGCGTGCTCAGACTTCTGTCTCTAAAGTATACCACAATTTGTGCACTTGTAAGAACGACTGATGAAATTTACATTAATAACTATCCCAAACCATATGGTTCTAGTGTAATGTGTGCTAAGTTCTGCGAATTGGCTGATTTTGCACAGATCACAGTAGCACCACATGACTGTCAGGTACCTATTTGTGCAAATTTAATTAGTGCTTAAAACATAAACAACTTGCATCTGTCTTAGAGATCAAAATCTGTGAACACTTCCCAAATTTGGTCTGCTTTTCATCATCAAATTGGAAGAAAGAAGTTCCATTCCTGATTCCATTCCTCCTCCAGCAGCTTCCTTTCCCCTAATACTAAGCACTCCATCCCACTGCCCACACTGGGCCTTCACTGGGCTGTTCTGCAGTAGTGTTTACCACCGAGCGTGTATGGTTCCTCAAGGCCTGCTGATATCTCTCTATAAGACACAGATGGTGCCATTTTGGTTATATGGGAACTGGAGAATTGAGACTATTACACATAAACATGACAAGTAAGACACCCCAATTTTCTACCGTCTGCCATACTGCAGACAGTCACCATTTTATAGTCAACAACTGAGGGCACCCTCAGTGGCCACATGCACTGAAGTGCTTCCAAAGACCATCTTAGCGATTAGGCAGGATCAGATGGAAGAAAGTTCTTCAGACTGGCTGGGCTTTAAAGTTCAGCACCAATATTTTGAATCAGACCTGCAGGCTGACTGGCAACCAGTGCAGTTAACACAACATTTGAACAGTATGTTTGAAATGTTTCTTGCATATATCTCAAGAACACACTTTTGAATCTCTTCAACGCAATTACCTCTCTGCTGACTTCAACAGGATGCTAGGATGGAATACATATTATTTTTTCTAATCCATATTGATGGGCAACATGGGTATCATCAACGAACCCAGTGCTAGAACAAAGGACATCGTTATCTCAAGGTGATATCTTAGCATATGAGCAATTCATGGCTGTTGTGCCTACTGACACCCTGGATTTTTGCTCAAGCCCCTAAAGGAATAGACACATCTAGCATCAAGCCCTCCCAGAAGCCTTTCGATTAGCCAGCATAACTGTAGTATACTATGACTATTTGCCTAGACAACAGAGTTGTCACATTCTGCTGAATTCTTGGCTTCATCTCAAATCCCATGCTGGCATGGAGGAATTACTGATGAAGAACAAATCGAGCATCCAGCATTATAGAAACTGTACAAGTCACAGTGCTATCAAAGTTTTACTTTTTTGTAAAATTTGTATAATTGTGATTATTACTAGGTTATGCATGAACAGCATTTCATCGAAATATACATATATACATCTCACAACTACAAAATAATAAAATGCAATTAAAACATTTAAAATTGCAACATCAAGAAACAGAATGACTATCCTAACATGTGACACAAACAGTTTTGACTTGGCACTGCAATTATGGCAAGTTTCATACAAACTGTACTTTCAAGAATTTGACAAACTGAATTCCATGACATATGTCCAGTTGGTAAGTTACTAGAGCTTGATTCACAGTGGCCAGACTATCATTGTATAAAAACAGGCGTACCTAGTGAATCATCTCAAGCTGGCAAAGGCCTCCAGTCACAAAAGGTATCTTCAACCTAAGTAGCTGTTTCTTCAGGAGAAACAAAGCCTACATAGAACAGGCTACACAATAAACTCCCAGATGTGAGAACCAGCTATCCACGGGGTGAGTAGTGTGTAGGAATTGAGTGATCTTGGGTGTCAGAGAAAAAAAATCTTTAATCCATGCATATTGGATGAGCTCTACCAGAAGAATGGGAGATTATTAAGAATCAACAGGTAGTGTGGTGAACTTTTTCAGTGTCCCAAAGCAAGGATAGTTTGTTGAAAACTTAAGAACTTCAGCACCAGAGACAACTGCTTTGAACCTCCTTTCACCTACTATATTTCTTAGATAACATCTGTGACAACTGAAACTGTTTGCTTTACTGAAGCAGATTTTGTCCCTTCACTGTCTCCTAGTTGGGAGGTTGGAATCTTCTGTATACCGATCCCCCCGAAGCAGTGGGAGAGAGAAACTTTATAAGATCCTTAGCAGGAGATAATTGGGTTTTGTTCTCAGTTTGGGCCAAGAACCTGATGTATTACTTGCCCAGGCAACTTTGGAACCATCCTCTGGCCTTTTCAGGAACCAATGTATCACAAATAAGGGAACTGTCAGCTGTCTTTCACTTGTTTATATTTTCATCCATAGTTGCTCACTGTATTCAATAAGCTGTATACCATTTTTGACACAAGTGATTTCCTTATGCTATGGCCAGTGACTGTTTCCTCATCTTAGGGCTATTTTACTTCCTATTACAAATGCAATGTTCTTGATCAACATAAACGTCATAACCTCCACATCACATAGGCATGACACACTTTATTAGAACCATTACAGTTTACACTTTTTGCATCTCTTTTAAAGCTCTAACAATCTATGGAAGTAGAATGGATCAAGAATTTTGGGAAGGGGCTATTATTGGTAATATTGCATTAAAGTAGTAGTTAGAAATTTGAGTTTCTAATTTAAACTTAAATTTGTCACTACTACTACTACTACTACTAATAATAATTTGTATGCAAGTAGGAGAACCATAAGCACAGCTTTCAAGTTCTCTGTGTGAGTGCCCACTGCCAAAGAGGCAAGTTGATGTTCTACCACCACATCACATTGATAAGAGCAAGTAATCGGGTGGAGAGGTGGGGGTGTTGATCTTTCCCACATGCTGAAAGTTTCTTTTCAATAATACACACAGAACTCAGTCATGGTCAGAGCAATTGCTGAGGCATACTTTGTTTGAAGGCCAAAGTAGACATTATTTTATTTAGAAGCTGAGCCTTTTTCTTCTTTTCTATATGTAAGTACAGGACATCAAACCTGATCAAGACTCATTGCACTCAGTCTCACTCATACAGCTCTCTCCTAGATGGTTGTTTCTCCATGCTCACGAGTCATTTCATTATAGAAGTTACCAAATAATCTTAACTGGCTAAGAAACCATAGTTACATTTGAGATCTATAACCAGGTAAAGATGTATCAGTGATACCTGAAGGAAGGTTCAATATCATGTCATTGGAGAACGAGATAAACATGCCAGCTCTTTTCAGGCAGACATAATTGGATCTAGCCTAATCAGTCTACTTTCCCCCCCTCTCACTTCAGATACTGAGTGACAGACATGGCGAATGATCAGATGCACTGAATCAGTTTGATTTATAACACTTTCTATGGGAGGGCTTGGCAGTGAGCTACAGGGAAGTGTGGGCTTGGAATTGGTGTGTTTTTCCATGTGTGTTTCATTTGTTCAGAGTATGTAACAAAAACTGTACCATGCACGAAGAAGTATTTATTTCTGGTGCTGCAATCTTCCTTTAGTCAACACAGAATTCTTCCTTTCTCATTGTCTCAGTTTAACCAAACTATCAGGAAGCCTGTGTTGGTGTTTAACAAAGCTTTGTAAAGCAAGTTTTACACAATCAGTATGGCTTTCAGGTTAGGAAAAAAAGAGGCTTTTTCAGTGTACAGTTATAATTGGCCACTGTAATCTACTGTAGTGATAATGGCCAAGGGTCTTGAGTTAATGATAATCACAGAAATGTGATTATTAACTTACTGAAATTAAAGATGAAAATGAAATATACTTTTTTGGTCAAGTATCCATTATTAATTTACTACTGTTATGCCTCTTAGCAAGTAAGAAGAAGCATCCAGGAACTAGAAAACAAAACTGTAATTCTTGGGTCAGCCCTGATTGCTCACATCCCAGGATCAATTTTATCTTGTGTAAATCGGCCCGTTTTACAATATTTTCAATAATGACTGTTTTTTTAATTGAAAATAAACTAAAATTCCCCTCTTGCTTTGTCAGCTGGCAACATTGTGTGGGGCACAGTCTTGAGCGCTACCTGTCTCTGCAGCAGAGCCTGCACTCGGCCCTCTTCTCAAGGAATGCTTCTTAGATTGGGCTGAGCTTATGAAATCTGGCACCTGGGAAAGAACCGCAGCTGCCTCCTCCTGGCTGCAATCAACTATGAAACCAGGCAGAATCCAATTCCCAGTGTCACGGCCATTCAAAACTGGATTAGGCCTTTAATCA